ATTGCAGAAAATCTGCAACATTTCTCAAATTTCAAACCCTCATCTCTCTCTCATCTCTCAACCGATTTGGGTGATCCAAAAGGCTAAGTTGTGAGATTTTTCGAGGACAACGCGTTGGTGATCTCGGATAGTGATTTGGAGTCCCCGTTTGAGGTAATTTTCGAAAAATACCTGCTGCCAGACCCCTTTTGTGACTTGATTTTGGAAATTTTTGAGACTTGTTTTCTTAGCCATTTTAGATCCGATTTTGGTGATTTTGAGGCTATCTTGAGTGGTTTTTCGAGGAGAACATTGTGGTGTTGTTAGATTTTACTGTAGATCGCCCGTTTTTGGTAAAAACGCTGAATTAGCTGCTGTCCCATTTCTATTCTTTTGAGAAAAATTGGGTTTTAGTTGCTTGTTGATATTGTGTTGTTCCCGAGCCCCGAATTGTGTCCCATTTTGGGACATGAGCTGGGGGAACTGGTTAGGACCCACTTTTGGGGTTAATTTCGGAATTTCCTGCGCGGGTCCCACGATTCCCGTTTTGACTCCAAAATTGACCCGTCTCTGTTTGTTGTGATTTTGGTGTCTAAACGACCGTATTAACGTTGTGATACTATTTTTGATAGCGGGGAAGCGTTTCGAGACCGTTCATAAAGGGAAAGCTCCGAATGAGTGATTTTGGAGCGCGTGTGATCGGCCTACAGGTAGGCTACGGTTTTCCTCTCTTAGATTGAGCTCGAGAATGTGAATGCATGTTGATTAGTTGGGATTTGGGTTGGGTAGTTATTGAATCTTGCATAGGTGTTAAGAAATCATGTTTTCGGCCTATTTCGGAATTATCGAGTAACTGTGAGCATGCTTTGTGTTTTTAACGGATCCTCCTCGATATGTGGAGTGCTTGCATGCTTAATTATTGTTTATTTGAAGAATGTTGGGCCTTAGTTTAGGTTTGACTAGGGCTTGCCTTAGAAATACATTATTCGGATCCAATAGGCCTTAGTTTTGCCCCGACGTCGCTCGGCCGGCTTAGATCCCTGTAGACTGGTGTAGCAGACTTGAGTCTGATAGTTTGGGCCTTAGTTAGGCGATACTCTTTCTCCGACTATAGTTACCTTATTTTTCCCCGATGTTACGGCTTCACAAGTTACATCGGCGACACTAGTTCTACTTCGCGATTTGAATTTGATTTTTGATTTGGTTCCAAGGACTTACATTGATTGGCTAAGTATGGACGGCGTTCCATGGACATTTATGAGTGTGGATCGATTAGGACTCTTTCAGCAGCTACATTGGCACTTTATAGAGCATCCGGTTTAAGGTCCGGCCTCTATTTCCCAGATACTTATATAGAGCATCCGGTTTAAGGTCCGGCCTCTATTTCCCAGATACTTATATAGAGCATCCGGTTAGAGTTCCGGCCTCATATACTTGATATTTGTGATTGATTACTTGGATATTTCTTGTGAGCATCCGGTTCGAGGTCCGGCCTCCGTACTGTCAGATTCTACTAATTAGGGTTGAGGTTCTGGTTTGATGTTCTTGTTCTTGGGTTCTTTTATGCAATTCTCTTTAGTTATAGTTATTCTGTGTACTCGTCGGGCTTATGGGGGTCCGTTCGGGTTTTTATTTAATTTGGCACGAGTGTACCTTCTGGGCTTATGGGGGTCCAGTTAGGTGTAGTTACTTATAGATTACTTTAGTTAGTTCTTTATACACTCGTGTGCATTCCATTGTTACTTAGATTTCCGCTTTTGACTTCGGTTTGTGTTATTCCTTCTTTTCATATTGCCTTTACTTTTCAAGTTCAGTCGGCCTATGATGCCTATTGGGTACCTGTTATTTTGGTACTCATGCTACGTCTACATCTATTTCGTGATGCAGGTCCGGGCACTAGTAGCCAGCGTTGATCGAGCTTGGAGCAGATTGATCCGGAGACGGGAGTGAGCACACGACGTTTTGTACTATTTCAGTCTCCATCTGTATATATAGACTTGTCTTTTACCTTTCGAGACAGTCCAGTCTCTGTTGTCCACTTTTGGGACTTGTACTCATTTTGTTAGTAGCTCTGTACTAGTGACTTCCAGGTTTTGGGAGGGATCTTTATTTGTCTATATGTTTTTGGTTTGCTTCCGCCTGTTTATATTGTTATTTGTCTACTCTTGTTTAGTTTCTACCCTCAGACCCATTACTTGTTGTTCCGGGTTACGGGTTGGCTTACCTACTGGTGGGTTATAGTAGGTGCCATCATAACTTGAGAAATCGGGTCGTGACAGCCCCTCTCCTAGATCTCGCTCTCTCACTCGCCTCTGTCACTTTATACAAAAAACGCAAATTGTATAAAATGTGTTTGTGTTTGTATAAAGCGAGAGAAATTGTATATATACATATATTTTCGTTCCCCTCTCCCAGATCTCGCTCTCTCACTCGCCTCTCTCACTTTATACAAAAACGCAAATGTATAAAATGCGTGAAAATTATATATATACATATATTTTCGTTCCCCTCTCCCAGATCTCGCTCGCCACTCTCCCAGATCTCGCTCGCTCACTCGCCTCTCTCACTTTATACAATTGATCTTTTTGTATACGTATACCAAAGCAGATTATACAACTACTTTCTTTTGTATATGTATAGCGAAATATACATATTTCTATTTGCTATGGAGCGCAATTATGCAAACTTTGTTATAACATACAAATATGAATTTTGTGTTTGCTATATGTGAAAGTTGCTCTTTGATATGGGTAACAAATGGGTTGGGTAAAATATCAGTTTACCCATATTTGTAACCATATTTTCATGAGTAAATAGTACTCTACTTAAGAATTCAATATGGAGAAAACATTTTAGGCTTTTTTTTAGATGAAAATGCTTCATTTAATTTTATTGTATCATAAAAGTAAAAAAAAAAATCCTATAACTTTTCTATATAAAATAAATTATGGAATAACAAGGGGAAAATATTTTTAATTTCAAAGTAAATGTATTTGCATTTTAGGACTAAAACATGCTTAATGCCATTTTGAACAATGGCAATACTAATTACATGATTTGCTTATTTTACACTATTATTTATTATCCACTATAAAATTAAACAAATAAAAAAATATCATTATAATTAACAAAAGAAATGTACATTTAAAATATATATTTTTGGAGGGCCAAAGACTTTACATTTTCACTTACAGAGAAAAATAATTAGTTCTATAGAAGAACATAAAAAGGAAGAAAGTTACAATATTTTTAGTAATATCATGAATTTTGAGTGAATAAAAGTTAAAAGGTTAATCTATTTGGCTAATCCATATTTTACCATATTTTTATGGGTTGAATATGGTTATCAACCCATATTTTACCCATGTAAAAAATCACTCACCCAAGCCATTAAAATATGAATGGATTGGACGGGTTACCAAAATATGGGTTCATTTTGCTGGCACTACTTGTGATGGTGACTTGGTGCTACACTTTTAGTCCACAAAGTTATGTTATTTTCAGTTTAGTCCCTTCTTCATTGATAGTCTAATTAGAAATCTTTCATGTTTACAAATTTTATCCTTTCTTATTATGTTTTCCTTAGTTAATTATCATGTCTTTTTCTAATTTGGAAACTACCCCATAAAATTATAATTCAATCATTTTTTAACTTGATCTTGATGATTTTTAGAACTTGTATAAAGATACTTGAGTGTTTGTAACTTGAAGAAAAATTTAGGACATTTAATTCACGTATTTTCTTTGTTTTTTTTGTTAGAATTTTGTTGGATTTTCTTGAAATCCTATTTGTAGTTGTAGAATGTATGAGTTGTGATAAGGATATGCTTGAGTGTTTGTAACTTGAAGAAAAATTTAGGACATTTAATTCACGTATTTTCTTTGTTTTTTTTGTTAGAATTTTGTTGGATTTTCTTGAAATCCTATTTGTAGTTGTAGAATGTATGAGTTGTGATAAGGATATGCTTAATTCTCTCGATCAATCAGATTTAAGTGGCAAGACAATATTTGATTGGTCGAAACATATCACTTATATATACGTGACACATTTTCATTGACCCTTGTTTTGACTAGGCATGCTATGTCATCTTGATATGTGGCATGATTTTACTGGCTCTTTCACCTGATTTGGCATTCCACGTCATTTGACATGTGCCACTAATTTGAATTTTTGGGATAAAATGGCATCTTAGGCTTGACGAAAGTGGGTTCATGATTTGTAGCCCAATTAAATATACTAGCACAATCATATTTATTGAACTTAAATAATTAATTCAATTATATTAATTGTTAATATTTATTTGGACTAATGTATCTCTAAAAAATATTCTTTTTAAAATAAATTTTAAAAAATAGAATAAATAAATTGAAACGAAGATGATATAAAATAGAAATCAGAAACATTACTCCTATAATTAGTAATGTATGCTAATTAAATTATTACATATGACTTATCAAATTTTGTAACTCTTTGGGTATTACAGAAAACTTAAATGTGTATCATTTAAATATTAAATGAAGTATGTGTATATTATACATAGAGAGATGAAAAGTCTTTTCAATTAAGTTTAGTTATGATTACTTTTAATAAAAGAATAAAATGATTAATCAACTTTTAAAGGATATTTTAGTAATTCAATAGATTTATCTACCCAGTGAAATTTTTTATTTCAATTGCATGACACTATCACTATAGCTGTAATTTGTAAATATCAGACTCTGCAGAAATGAATTCCTCAGTTGTCTACTCTGTGCATAAAATAGATGTAGTAATCATCTTTAAAACTAATACAAGTATATACTTTTAAAATTTTCAAAACAAGGCTTAGATTGTTATTAACTAGGAAACTTATATTTCTATGCAATGAAAAGATGAGTTGTAACCCAAAGCTACCGAAGTTACCAATATTCTATCAATAAGTTCATGACAAATAAAATCAAAGTAGGACATAGTTATATCAGCTGAAAAAAACTATATAAAACAAAGTTCTACAGAGGAGTTTTTACTCCATTCCAAACACATGGCGTTGATGGTTTTCCTGATTACGCTCTTGTTCGTTGTAAGTTCTCATTTATCGATCATATTAGCTACTGATCATCTTTCTCAGCAGAGCAATTCAGAAATCTATATTGTTCGCGTTGAATCATCTGATAATTTACATGCCTCACACCAGTATTCATTATTGTCTGATGTGTCCTTGCGTGTAATATATTCCTATCGGAATGTTTTCAATGGTTTTGCGGCTAGATTATCACCAGATGAAGTGAAGGGACTGGAAACGAAAGATGGCTTTATTTCCATAAGACCTCAAAGGGTATTGCGAGTACAAACAACTCACAGTCCTAGCTTCTTAGGATTGCACCAAAATTTAGGCTTCTGGAATACGTCTAACTATGGTGAAGGTGTGATTATTGGTCTGTTGGATACTGGAATTTATCCGGAACATCCTTCGTTTGACGATGAAGGAATGCCTCCTCCTCCTGCTAAGTGGAAGGGGAAGTGCGAGTTTAACTTCACAGCATGTAACAACAAGCTCATTGGAGCAAGAGACTTTTTGAGTGTTGAAGATGGGACGCCATTAGATGAAAATGGGCATGGTACACATACTTCAAGTACGGCTGCTGGAAATTTCGTTGATGGAGCGAATGTGTTTGGCAGTGCTAATGGCACAGCGGCTGGCATTGCACCTCGTGCTCACTTGGCTATGTACAAAGTTTGCAATCCAAGTGGCCTGTGTTCCGAAAGTGACATGTTAGCCGCGATGGATGCTGCAATTGAAGATGGTGTTGATGTAATATCCATTTCTATTGGTGGAATTTCTACTCCTTTTTGGGATGACAATATTGCACTTGGTGCATTTAGTTCTATGGCAAAGGGAATTTTCGTAAGTTGCTCAGCTGGAAATGCGGGTCCATATAATGCTACCTTATCTAATGAAGCCCCTTGGATTCTCACTGTTGGTGCTAGCACGATCGATAGACAAATAAAGGCAACTGTGGCACTTGGAAACGGCGTAGAATATGATGGTGAATCAACTTCTCAACCAAATGATTTCCCTCCAACATTACTACCAATCGTCTACCCAGCATTGAACAGCACTTATTTTGGTGCTTTCGTTTGTAGTCCAGAATCACTTACAAATGTTGAAGGAAAATTAGTGTTGTGTGGAGCGGGTGGCGCAACAGCAATTGAAAAAGGACAGCCTGTGAAAGATGCTGGTGCTGCTGGCATGATTCTAATGAACGGAGATATTGAAGGTTACACTATACCTGCACACGATTATGTTCTTCCAGCAACACGCATCAGCTATGTCGATGCACAAGATCTCATAGCATATGTAAACTCGACATCAACCCCTATGGCCAGTATTTTATTTAAGGGCACTGTAATTGGAAATAAACATGCTCCTACAGTTGCTTTCTTTTCGTCCAGAGGCCCAAGCAGAACAAGTCCGGGCATATTAAAACCAGATATTATTGGCCCGGGATTCAATATCCTTGCAGCTTGGCCGACCTCCATAGAAAACAATACTCGTACAAACTTGACATTTAACATGATTTCTGGCACATCCATGGCTTGTCCTCACCTTGCTGGAGTTGCAGCTTTGCTTAAAAGTGCTCATCCAGATTGGTCTCCTGCTGCTATTAAGTCCGCAATTATGACCACTGCTGGTATAGTTAATCTTGGCAATAATCCAATCGAGGATGAAAGACATTTACCAGCTAACATATTTGCAATTGGAGCAGGACATGTGAATCCGTTGAGTGCAAATGATCCTGGTCTAATCTACGACATCCAGCCTCATGATTACGTGCCTTATTTATGCGGCTTAAACTACACAGATCAACAAGTTAGCGCAATCTTACAAAAGAAGGTGAATTGCACAATTAGTATACCCGAGGCAGAGCTAAACTATCCTTCATTTTCGATCAAACTTGGATCAGAGACTCAGGAATATACAAGGGCTGTGACTAATGTCGGTGAGGCCAATTCGACTTACACTGTGGAGATTTCACCACCAGAAGGAGTTGAGATAACTGTGAGTCCTAGCAATTTGCACTTCTCTGAAGTAAAGGAGAGGATAACCTATCAAGTAACGTTTAAACGTTCGGCGTCTGGCACTGTCAGCAACGCGAACTTTGTGCAAGGATATTTGAAATGGTCATCAGATAAGCACTCTGTTCGAAGTCCCATTGCAGTTATATTGGATTAGTGAAAGCACCATCAGCCTTCTCAATAAATCCTAGAAGATAATTATGTATACCTGCTTGAGATTTGAACTTGACTATATAACACAATTTCCTTTCTTCTTGCAGTAACTCTCTTTAATTATTTTATGATGGTATAGAGTGAATTTCAATTTTGATGAAATTGAATTAAAAAAACTTAATATGGTCAGTGGGTGAAATTTAAATACGATACGACTATAATATTAAATTAAGTGACTTTCCCATATGGTATGTATCAGTGTTTTAAAAGACTTCGTTAGGACTCGCCCTGGGGCAGGACTCTAGCAAAACATCCCAAAACTCAAGTGTGAGGCTTAGTTCTATAAGAATTACGCCCGACTGTACTCCCTAAGCACGCCTAACGCCCAACACTCAGGGCTCACCTAATAAATCTTAGACAAATTATACGTTAAAATATTTAGTTAACATTGTTGACCCTCATAAATCCTGAATAAATGAATGATACTTCATAATTTTTTAATCTACAGAGATAAGAAGATTGAGAGTAACTCAATTAACAAGTTGTAGTATCACATCTTTACTATTTGATAACATTGTGAAAGTGATTATACATTACATAACATTTCTTTTAAAAATACGTAACGAAATTTTACTTTTTCACTTATCATTGATCTTCATGGTTTTGTCATAAATCTCAAAGTTATCATATTTTATTTAGCTATTTGAAAGTAATTTTATTGATGATGGAGTGATGTTTTTATTATAATACTAGTAAGTTTTTTTTTTTTTTAGGGGGTGAAATGTATAGTATGATAAAAATATATATTTAGAAATAATGACTCTTTTATTATTAAAAAGTTAAGATATTAGATTATTTATACTTGTATAATCATGTTAGAAGTTTTATTTTCTATGAGTTTCATTAATCATGTTTGTAATTATTTCAAACTTTGATGTATTATTATACTATATTGTAAATTAAAAATTTAAAGATCCATAGGGCTTACGCCCCACGTCTCGAGGCTTACGCCTCACCCTATACTAAATAAAACGTCCCGCCTCATGCACCCACCTTTTAAAACACTGGTATGTATACTAGGTAGATTTCTCTTAATAAAATTGAATTTTATTGTTGTGTTAAGAGTTAATTATATTTCATCCCTATTTTTTTTCAAATTACAAAAATTCCTTAAATTTGATAGAATATGGATACATCCCAAAATGCCTCTACACATATCGCATCTCGGTTTCGGATATATCCCTCAATGTCCCGGTATATTGCGTCTCGATTTTGGATATATCATTCAATGTCCAATACATCATGTAAAGTGATGTATCTGAGAATATGAGAGAGTAGAAAATATGGAAAAATAAGTTGTGTATTTAGGTAATTTAATTACCAATATCTTTTTACACAAATCCCTTAATGTTAAGAGCTAATTACATCTTATCCCTAGTCTTTTCCAAATTACAAAACATCCCTAAAATTTGGTGAAATCCGGATACATCCCAAAACTTTGCGATACATTGCGTCCCGATTTTGGATACATCGCTCAACGTCCCGATACATCGTGTCTCGATTTCGAATACATTACTCAATGTTCCTATACATCGTGTATGTCTCAATACATTGTATCTGACCGATGTATTTGAAAATAGGAGAGAATAAAAAAATTATAAATTTTTTTAAATGGTATGAAATTTTAGAAAATATGATAACATAAATCGTGAAATTAGGTAATTTTTCCTCTTAATATTAGCAAAATATGTCTAGTCAAATCAAATGGTAGGGAACCTACAGATGATTGGACATATGGGGAAGTATGTATTTGTGTGTAAAGGTAATAAAATTAGCTAATAAAAATATAATTCATTCAATTGAGGAAATGACATATATAGACAACTGCTAATAACTATTAGCAACACATAGCCCAACATTAATAAGCATTAAATAGACAAATAAAGTATTAGCACAAATTGTCCTAAAATTAATTCGGCATATTAATAGGCATTTTTTCCCTCCATTATGAAACCAGCAGTTAATTATTAGCATAAATTAAGGAGACATTGTTTTTTTTTTCATGGGTATATTTAACTCTTGTATTGATAAAGATGGTCATTCATTTTCCATGAAATTCACCAATTCAAAATCAGTGTATCCAAAAAAATGAACGCACTTCAACAACAAACAGAGAAAAATAGATGACATCTTTGATAGTTTTGATTCATCATAGCGAAGAATGCGATAGTAAAAATTATTTTGTTTATTCAACAGAAGGGGTGGCTATTACAACAAATATTGATTTTGATTGATTCAAATTAATTTCAACCCATCCAAATGTCGATACTTTCATCAATTCCTTTGGATTTCATTATTAGATTAATAGGTAAACAATTAACTAAATTATCTTTTATCACATGATTAGTTTTTTATCACGTGAATGAACAATCATGTATACAATGCATTCATGTATACATATTCGTGTATTCATTCACTAAAAATATATACACTGAATCGAATAATCTTTTATCACATGAATGAGTTTTTATCATTTGAATGAACAATCATGTACACAAAAATTCATGTATACATATCCGTGTATTCATTCACTAAAAATTTGTATACATTCCATAATCTTCCTTCAGTGTGTAAATGAGGATTGCACTTGGAAATTAAAATGCTCAACATTACACAAGTAAAAATTATTCAAAGTTAGACGATTCATCACTTTCTATAATCCTTCTCCTTCTAGCAACATCAATTGAAATAACTCTTTTCTGAATTTTTTTTATCAACAACACCAACCAATTCACATTGTTTACCTTTAAATTATCCTTACTACGAATCGGCTACCGCGAAGAACTTGCATGACTAAAATTTGAAGTTTTGGATGGTGATTCAACAAAATCAAAATTAGAATCTCTTTTTTTAGGAATAATTCTAGGAATATTTTTCTTAACCATGGCAATTGATACCAATTACTATCTCCTTAATTTTCACCCAAATATAAAAACTTTCAACTTGAAAAATTAAAAAACCAAAAAAAAAATTAACAATATAAAAAGTGAAGACATGCAAATCTTCTAGAGAAGATATAGCATCAACTTTTAACACTTTTGTTTAAAAGGATGAAGAAGAATGATATAAATGTTTACATTATCAATAAATATTCACCAATAAAAGAAAACGTGCATATGAGAAAAGAGGAGAAAAAAAAGTGAACAAAATCCCACTTCCCCATAAAACTGCAACATGCTGCCACCAACTTTAAAAAAATAATTAATTTAAATATAAATTACTTCCCATATATTAACATGGGTAAAAAGGGCCAAAATATGCCAATTTTATTTTTAAAAATCCTTTTTTTGTTATAAAAATAAGAAGGGGCTATATGTTGCCAATTAGTTAAAAGAGAGTACATGCTGTGCCATTTTTTCCATTCAATTCATCTAAATTTGGGTGGGCCATTATGGGAAAATATGCATTTGTGTGTAGAGATCATTTCAGTCCAATCCATCAAAAATTGGGGTGAGATATAATCCAAGTTGATTTATGAGAAATTTTGTTAAAATATTTATAGAAAAATATTTTTTTATTTGATATGTTATATATAGTCCTAATAAAGAAAAATAGTTTTATTAGATACTAAAAATTACAAAAGAACAAATAAAGTAACTAAAACTCAGTAAGAACTAAGCTAGGTGAGCCGCATTTTAGCCTATTTTAGTCAAACTATTTTTAAGCGGGTTAATAATCCATCCATTTATTAATTCAATTTATTTTTATCCGCTCAATTCAATTCAACTCGTCCATTTAACATTTATATGTATGTTATGTGACAAAAGTCTTCAGCCTGCAAATGATTGGTTTTTACAAAAAATAAATAGGAGTAATTTCTAGTCGGCTGACAACCCAAAAAGCTCCAGATGCCTACGCCTTTATGGGGCGTTTATTTCATAGCCCAAAAGGGATTTTTAAATTAATCCAATTGGAACGTCAATAATAATTTAAAAAACAGTTACTTTCTCAAATTTCTAAATAAATAAAAGTAACTACTAAACAAAGAATATATAATAATTATCGTTAAATAGAACACCAGAACAACATCCACTAATTGATGAATAATTCAAAGCTATACGAAACCAAAATTTTCGAAAGTTAATTTGATTAATTTTTAAACTTAAATTAGATTACATTAATTTGATATTTTAAATAAAAAAATTAAATATTCAAAAAACTATAAAAAAAAAATACTATAAATTCTCATCTTTTGCATATTGATGAAAAAATATATCGTAAAATATTAATCAAAATTATTATCGTTTGACTCTAAAACCATGGCAATTAAAAGTGGACGTAGGTACCTCAAGTCAAAATAACTTTTGCACTATTATAAATAGACGTGGTTTAACATAATCTCTTGCAGAGGGAAAGAAGCATACTTACAGAGCATGACTCCAGCACTAGTTTATCAAAGTGTTGTTTCCATATTTTTCCTTCAATCCTTGGTTATATTTGCAAGTTATGAAAACAACAAAGAGATTTACATTGTACATCTAGGCTTACCTGATGAAAATCAATTTTTCTCTAATTTTGAAGATTTGCATGATTGGCACCATTCATTTTTGCCCTCAAACACAGACAATTCTTCCTCTTCGCGTATGGTTTACTCCTATCGCAATGTCCTCAATGGCTTTGCTGCAATGCTAACACCAGAAGAAGTAACATCACTTCAAGACAAGGAGGGGATTATATCAGTCCGGCCACGACAATTACTGGATGCACAAACCACTCATAGTACAAATTTCTTGGGGCTACACCAGAACTTAGGCTTCTGGGAAAAATCAAATTATGGAAAAGGTATGATAATTGGAGTTTTAGACAGTGGAATAACGCCTGATCATCCATCCTTCCATGACGAAGGAGTGGCCCCTCCACCTGCTAGGTGGAAGGGCAAGTGTGAGTTCAACTTTACGGCGTGTAACAACAAACTCATTGGAGCAAGATATTTCCATGAATTTG